TTGTTCGATCGAGTTTTCATAACGTGAACCCTTTTAAAAAGTAGCCAAGTACACATTTGTTTAAGACCTGCTTTTTGTTTAGCTTGTTTTGTTATTTTAGCTTTGTATCTGCATTTCATGTCCGTTGTTTTGTCTTCTACTTGGCATTTAGGCGTTGGTTCTAAAGCACTTTGCGACACCTGGATTATTGTTATAATAGGGAAAGTCTTTCTTTTGTTTTGAGGTGTATCAGACGTGCATACATATTCCCAACAATAATGATTTAAGGTCGACCTCGCCCTTCCCCTAAAACCTCCCATCATTCTTAGTGGCAGCTTAAGTGCATCTTGCCACCATATGAGGTTACTCTATGGACTCTTGTGACCTTATTGGGGCTCAGATGGCTAACTGAGTGAGTTGTACCACACACACACTTATTCACACCGCAGTGTATGCAAATTGTTACTTGTGGTTAACATTGCTCTTTGAGGCCACACACCACACAACACATGCAAGTGCTTTACATTAATCGTATCCCACACACACAAATCATGCCGTTTCTGCGATATACCACATAAACACACATGGAAATCAGAGTCTCTTGAGAATAACTGTCAGTGTGAATGACGCATCACCTTTTTGCAAAGCCTCATGGGAGTCTGAAGAGGCCTACACTCTTTAATACATGCACTCAAGGTAGAGAAACACAATTTAAAATACCTCTCAGTTAACTGCTCAGCTCTTATTTTCTTTATTAATCCTATTAAAGCATGTGACTGCAGAGGGACTGGCAGTGAAGGACAACTGTAGGGCATGTTCAAATAAAATGTGAGCTTCCAGCTTCTTAAAAGCTGTTTTTATGGAAACGTGTAGAAAATAGTTAAAAAAAACTTTAATTTGAGGGTCACATTTTGCTCTCACTAACATAACTTGGATTTGAATCAACTAAATTAGCTGATATAATATATTTTAAGCAAGGATGGGTAACAATACATTCCATAAAGTTCTGTATTATGGAATAGCAAAACAAAAGGGATAAGGAGCATGATAAATGATGCTGCCAGTGGAGGTGAAGGCTCAGCTCTCAGTCAAAGAGAGGTCAGGGTTCAGAGTTTGTAGCCTTAAAGGTCACACAGCAGACAGGAGGGGACAGCAGATAATGCTGTCTTTAGTTTAGTGTCAAGATAAGAATAGGATGCAGTGCACCAGCTCAGGAAAGCCCTTTTAAAGATGTGACAATTCAGCCAATCAATGTCTGTGCAAGTGTTTTCATCAGGGCAAAACTATCAAAGGCATTCCGTAGTTTTTTCCATTTTGTACAGCAGGCCTCGCCTCCATTTACTGTAAACACTACTATCCTTTATTTACACATTGTATGATAAAGTTACACCAGACTTGCAAGGTCACTCTCATCTGTATGGAAAGTAACTATAGAAAACACATTGGATAAGTACACACATTATACATAGATACACTGTGTGTGTGTGTGTGTGTGTGTGTGTGTGTGTGTGTGTGTGTGTGTGTGTGTGTGTGTGTGTGTGTGTGTGTGTGTGTGTGTGTGTGTGTGTGTGTGTGTGTGTGTGTGTGTGTGTGTGTGTGTGTGTGTGTGTGTGTGTGTGTGTGTGTGTGTGTGTGTGTGTGTGTGTGTGTGTGTGTGTGGAAGAGGCCCTCCTCACCCGTCCAAAAAAATTCCATCAACTCCTGCAGGCACTAATATAGAACGCACAGTACCACACACACACACACACACACACACACACCGCAAAGCATACTTTTCTTGACTTACATTACTTCCCTGAAGGTGTACACATTTTTCACTGTAGTGTCCTGTGTCCATTGAACTATATCTGAACCTATAAACAACATAACAGAATTTCTTTCATATTGATTTGAAGTACAATGGGGAAACTAGTTTTGTTTTCAAAAAGACAAGCTGATATTTGTGTCCAAAAACTGGCCATTGTCAGAAACACCCACACGTAGACACGATCTTAAACTCCCTTATAACTGTCACAGTAAACGCAGGTTGCTGTCTGGTAATAAAAGCCTTCCGCTGTGGAGAATTTGAACCCCTGTGTTTAACTGGCTCTGTGAATGTGTCACCGCTGAGAGACACAGTCTGTGAAACTGTACTTACTGGGATTTGGAATTTGGCAGACACCCTCAGCCAAGGCTTTTGTCTTTTTTTCTGGCCCCAGAAAAAAAAAAGACAGTTGTGGACACGTGGATGCACTGACTGCTGCTTCTGTGTGTTGGCTATGTGTTACATCCAGGTAGACTTACTTATCCACTATTTGTACCCTTTGTGTCTGGTCAGTGTGTATCGATGTCAAGCGGTGCAGGCCTCTGATGTCTGATTGGGTTACTTGGCAACCAGATCTCATGTCCCTATCTCCTGTCTGAGTCACGCAATAGGTGACAGTGTGTCGAGTGTGTTTATGTATGTGTGTTAGCTCCAAGGTGAAATGTATACCTTTCCTTTTAGTTTTAGCAGGAGATATCATTTGGTTGGCTCAGAAAGTTCTCCTTTTATTTGGAGTAAAATTACAGGATTTCTTTTTTTTTTTTCAGTGTCAGAGGTTTTACCTGTGGTTCGTCTCATTCACAGTATCCACTTTGCGAGTTTCTACTTGTTACTTTTTACTCACTGTAACTTTTAATTGTATCTGATTTCATGTAATTTAGCTTTAATTACGACAGGAGCTTAAATTTAATCCGGAACTGTCTGGTCTTGTGTTTACTTTGTCTCTTATCGTGTGTGAGAGGAATGTCGCAAACTGACTTTGTGACCTGTAAAGTCTGTTTTCAGCTTGTTTACGGTCTGCATTGTTCCACTGAAATTCACTGCCACATATTCTAATGATAAAATCATAGGTTGATGTTTTTTCTGTTATATACCCACCTGCTTGATTGTACATATTGCCTGGGTCCTAGTGTCTGGTGCTGAAATGTGCTTATGAAATGACTGTTAACTTAGAGTAAAGCAATTTAGAATTGAATTCCAACACGAGGAAAGAAAATGACCAGTAATGCAGTTTATCAGCCGACATACTGTACTTTTATATATACCATAGTACTCTATAATGTATTCTAGAATTCTATATTCTCAACCGGGTAAGGGGCTGAAAAAATATGGTAAACAAAACAAAAAATCACAACCATAAAATCAATTCCTAAGGTCAAAAAATGACGGATTGTTCCCTCAAAGACCAAATATTTATTTCACGTCATAATTAGGCAATATAAATAGGCTAAGCTGTCAGGTGAAATCTTTCAAAGAGTAATCTTTCAATTCTCTTCTGACCAGAAGCAGCCAACCTAAAGCTGTTGGATGTCCTCTTTACCACGACAGATATCAGATTGAACATATTGATTGTTGCCACTGCTGTCTTTTTCTTTGTGTGGAGCTTTAAGGGAATGAAAACAAGGAGATTTATGAAAAGGAAGTGAGGTGGGGGTTGAAGCAGGATGCTGACCTCTTATGATGACCTGGGACTCTCCAATTCCCTTCGGGGGTGATGGTACTAAAAGGGATTCTCTTCCTGAAAAGAGGAAATCAATAGACTAAACTGGACTGTCTATTTTTGTGCCCTATATGTGTTGTAGCTTGGCTTCCATGTTGGCTTTGTTCTTGTGAATTCAATAGTTTTTCATCAAGCTATTAACATCTTGCCCTTTGCAGATGTATTCACTTGTTTTCATTTCATGCTTTCCACAGCCCCTTTATAGCTGCACAGTAGAATATTGCATGTGAATTATTAAAGGACTGCGGCCTTATGTGTCATCAATGCGAACACAGGTCTTAAAATATATATCTGTGTGTTTTCGTTGCATGTTCGTAAGTCAAGCAGGGACATCAGTAGCAGGCAGTTGTCCCTTTGTGTAAACAGCAAGTGCTGATGTAGTGCATTTCCCCTCTAAAGGGAAAAAGAAAATGAGGTTGGGGACCTGTCAGAGCGAGGGGGGGGGGGGGTTAAGTCTAGGTTTACACCACACAAATCTGGGATCACCTTTCAGCAGTGTAATAGATCCTTAAAAAGGAGATCCAAATAAAAAGTTATAGGTTTAAATCAGTGAAGTTCCTGTAATTTTCTTTAATCGCGGTTGCAGAAACGGGGATTGATTCTGGGTTATTGAGTGAGTGAGATACTTTTGCCTTAAACACACATGTGCGCACACACACACCAGTGGTTTATTGTCACACCTTGGTGGTCACACACCCTCTGTGGTTACACTTGGGTGGGAAAGTGGAAAGCTCCACCTCCCCAGCACACTTGAAGTGCCTCATAAAGTCTTTGTTTTTGTCCTCGAGGGCCTCTGCGTCCTATTTTAGCCTACTAAACTATATGTTGGGCAGCTAAATACGTGTTCTGTTTTATGTTTAACAGAAGAAAAGAATGCAAATGAAAAACCAGAACCACTTCAGTGCAATCTTTCAATGTTTCGGTGGGTGTTTTCGTCACCCCTTCGTCAAGCCATGTTTGTTGACGTCTTAAGGTGCTCTAAATGTGTTGTTTAACCAGTTGCTTTTACCACCTCAGACAGAATGTGAGCCACAGTAATGTTTCAAGCACGTCCTGAAACCGTCTTAAAATGAGGTTGTTCCTCTGTATATGTTCTTGTCATGTATCTACTTAAAACTGGCAGTACAAATGTCTTTCAGTTGAAACACGACATGCAATTAATACTAGCAATACCTGAGAGGGGTTAAACACTGTGTCTTTGTCCCAGGAGCACCTGAGGGACTAGGTTGACGAGGAAAGTAAACAAAAGGATATGAAGGTGGGGGGGGGGGAAAGGTGTTGGAAGGAGGGAGGGAAGAGTGGTTGCCATGCCGGCAAACTAGTATATGGGAGGGGCAGAGATCAGCGATCGCAGAAAACTGAGAGAAACAGGGAGGCAGGGAAAAAGAAAGGGACGGGCTGACTCGTATTTCAGCACCGTGGCTCCTAGGGTTGGGCGTAAACCTAACCCTACAGTGACAACACACACAGTCAACCCTCGTAGCCAGTCACACACTGACCAAGTTCAGGGAATCCTCACAGGCACATGCTTCTTATCAGCTGGTGTGTGTCACGCCGTGTGTGTTATCCTTGCTTTATCACTTGTGCTGATCAGCTCATTCAGATCCAGACGGCTGTCAACACCTGGACTACTTTTCAAAACATCAGCCTACTTTGCATACTTTTTTCCACACAGGTAGAGGAAGGAGAAGAAACAGTTGACAAGAAGTTGGATCATTTTGGAAACCCTGAGAGGCAGCGTCATCTCTGCACTTTGGCATATCCACCACTTGCATACATTATAGAGGATCCATATTTGGAACTTGTGGCGGGAGGACTTCATGTGTGAGTGGTCATGTAACTTTATCACGCTGGGAATAGACCCAGGGCTGCCGACACCTCGTCACCTCTTGGTCTGGCATGGCGCTGAGATGATACAAGTCAGCTGGTGTGTTTGCTAACAACTGGAGATAACAACACTCAAGGGCACTCATGGTTGTAAACAACAACTGCCGAATTTCGGTGAATTTAAAGTCATTTGAAAATCTCTCTCCACCCTGTCATGCACCACCAAGGAATAACAGCCAACTGTGAGTGTGCACATACAAGTGTGTGTATCTGAGTGTGTGCCGCTGAGGGGCGGTGATTTTCCAGATTGCTGGATTGCCTAATTACCCCGTTCGGGTTTGGGAATCACGCCCAGAGTCTTCAAACACAAAGGAAGAAAAGAGAGGAAAACAGATGATTTAGGTCTGGCTTTCTGCTTGTGACACAGAGATTAATTGAAGGAGAAAGACGCTGGAAGTTAAGGCTGTCCGGAGTCATGATGTGGAAGTGTGCGACCAAAGTGAAGAAAAACTGGGTTATAACTGAACCTGGAATTAATATTAAGCTTAACATGGAGTCTGAATAGTTTGAAGCATTTTTGCACATGTGCAGACTTGGATGCTGTGTTCAGAAATGTTTGGAATCTCTGGATCTGGACTTAGTGAATATCTACAAACCAAGCAAAGGATCTACACCTGAGGATTATTTTTCCAGGTAAGACAAACATCGGGCCGTGTTAGATTTCCTGTCCCTGAAAGAGGATGAGAGGGGAAAGGAGGTCTTCGTCCTTTCGCAAGGAGAAACCGGCGGGCATGTCCCGGGCTCTCAGCTGGCTGAGCGTGTCCACTCTGTCCCGCCAGAGCAGACGCATCTTCCACAGCCAAAACAACCTCCACGCTGTCCACCACCGTCAACCGCACTCGCACTCGCACACTCGCCTTCATGCTGCAGTCAGAGACGAGGATGATGATGACGATGACAACTGGGTTTACCAGCCTCAACACAAAAGAGGTGAGACCAGGGATTGCAATGAAGAGATGACCCATGTCATTGTTTATCAGATCGTTTTTGCTCTAAACATTCTCCGGTCGTCAGAAAACGTTTGCACCCTGGTTTGTTTCTTCCAGTTGATGCACAAACCACATGGTCATTTTGGCTTGGCTGCATCACAACTTGTCACAATGCTCTGAGCTCATGTTGAATGGTTTTCTGTTCTCGCTCTCAGCCCGGAAACCAGTGATTGACTTGTTTACATGCACAAGCAAGGAAATAAGTGGTTCACTGTCTTTTTATGGCCCCTTGTTCTCCGACTCCCTGGCACTTCCTGGTCGCTGGAGGGGCGAGCGGGATTGTTAGGGGGTCAAGGGGCATTTTGTGTGCATGATAGGTAAACAAGGATGCGCGGGGCCCGGAAGCAAGTGATGTCACAGGCTGGTGGCGATGTGAGCTGCTTTGTGCCAGGGAGAGAGGCATGCATAGCTCAGCATTCAGACCAAGCCATTATACTGGAGAGTAATCTGTTTTCTTCATTAATATTCCTGGTTTATATTTGGACGTCATCTTGACTGAGGTAGGACTGCCGTTTATACTTCTCTCAGTACCTCAGGGGTGTTGTGTTCCCTGGTTAGGCTCATATTTTATTGAATAGTTCATTAGTTGTGTGTGTATTTTGTCAGTGGTGTCCGTAGGGCTTTGTGGACAATGGTTGTAACTGTAGCTGAAATGGAAAAAGACACCGATGCTGCACTGTAGTCTCACAACTTTCTTCATTAACTCTGACCCATACTTGTCCTCATCTCCAGTGTCACGTCTCTTTCAGCGACACTCAAATCAGCAAAGACTGCAGGCGCTCCATCACAAATGTATTGAAATTACTCAGGGAGGTCTCAGCTTCCAAAAGCAAATATTGAAGCTTGGACACCGTGTAGCAGAACATCCCAATGCACAGTAGCTTTAGGTCATGGTACATAATGTGCTGAACTACATGTTTTCATGTCTCCATGTTCATACGCAGAGTTCTGATACTGTACCTCTTTGGGGCTGATCTCATTTTAGCATCATGAAACTGCTGTTTACTTCTTATAGTTAGTTATTTACCTAGTTCTCAAAGACTAGCTACTTCAATATGAGTTGCTCTTATGGCCTAACAGGACTGTGGAGATTGTTGCTGTTGTCGTGGTTTATTTCATAAATCGGCTTGGTGTGTCCGGGCCTTAAACCTTCTTGGTCACTCTGTCACCTCTGAGCCCGCCCCGTCCTAAAACAGCTCAGGTCACACATGGCTGGGATGCTTTGAAGTCCTCACATTTTTCTCAAAGTCAAAGGGGGAGAGCTGCCACCCTTAAAAACTGATAGTTTGCATGTTATCTACTTTCAATTGGTCTAGATTTTTTTTTAATTAAATATTCTCTTTATCTCAAAGCAACATATGGGTTTAGATATTTTGAATATGCTTATAAATATCAGACACATTATGAAGATTCAGCAATACAACCAATTGCTCAGGCACATAAACATATACAAATATATGGCTTTTAAAATAAACACAAATGTATGAATTAAGTCCATCAACATTACTTATTAGTCATGCATCATGTACTATACTCCCAGTTATACCTCTGTTTAATTTGTTATCTTCCTTATTTAAAAAATGCCTTCATGTAGTAAATCTTTTATGTCCTTCATTGGTGATCACTTTTAATTTAAAAGCGTGACTTTCTTTATTGATTTTTCTGTAGATAAAATTAGGAAACAGATTTAAAGTGGTACATTTCAATCACGGTAATTGATAATTTACTTGTTATATCTTAGAATAAAGGAAGGGGAGTGTTTATTGATTTTGTTGTAGGAGCTAACAGCATGACTTGTAGAAGAAGAGACGAGTGGATTTGTTTTTCAGAGACTGATGTTCTCCTACTGTGATTTCTTTCCCGCTCACACACCCTATCTTTTTTTCTTTTTTTCTTTCCGTCTCTCTGTCTTACACAGTATATGTCTTTTTATAGCTAATTATAGCCTAGAGGCAGTGTCAGAGACAGGTCAATACAAAACGATTCCATCCATAGCTCACACACAAGCATACACACACATTCTGTATGCATGCACAGTGCACACCACACAAGAGGAAACATCTAATAAGAATACTTCTCTAGTCGGAACCTGAAGTACTTATAACATCTGGATCTGGCTTCCACACGCCTGCCAGGACCCATTACAAGACACATGGGCAGCCGTGCACCGTGCCTGTGTTTTTAAATATAGCCCTAAATTGAGTGCCTGTGGCTTCAAACCCTGCAATTCTGACGCAGCCGCCAGCTTGACTGGTTGGGTGTTTGCCTCGGTTGCCAAGGAAACGGGTGTGCGAGTGAGTGTTTCCTGCTGTGGTTCAGTTTGACTTTGCTATTGGGACAACGCTGAACCAATCATGTGTAAGAGGGCCGCCTGGTACACAAGCTGCTATTGGCTGACCTGGTGACATCCTGATTTGAGGTGGATGAAAAAATACTGGGGCGTGACTCGGATTGCAAACAAATAAATACAAAAAAATGAAAATATTTGTGTAGTATAATCCATATTAAAGATAATAATGAAATACTTTGAAACTGCAACCTTGGACTTCCACTGTCAGTTTAAAGGTACAAAGAAAAGGCAAATACTTAGCACTTATTACAATACTTTACCATACATAGCTTATATTCAATATGTATGGAAACATTGGTACACATGTGTTTTCTGGTGGCCAGCAGAGGAAATGTCCTGATCATAAAGCCAGTAGGTGGTAACAATTAAATAAAGAGGAAAAAAAGTGATTTTATTATCACACATTTTTCTCTGCCTTTTCCACTATCAACTTCCACTGTCTCTTCTCCTGTCTCTCTCTTTCCTCACATACAGTATCCACAGACACCTCATGACCTAATCAATCTCCTCAATCAAACCCATTGATCTCCCCTATGTGGCCTTACGTCTGAATAAATCAGCGTGCAGGCATGATGGCTGTTCAGAGAGGCCAAGTCAAGAAATAGACCGGACAGTGGGGCCCCGCCAGGCTGCTGCTGAGGCCCCTCAGTCTTTCTGAGTCTGAATCCTTGTCTGGCAGCTGGGCATCTGAGCTCTACATGATTACTTTACGGCTTCTTACAGTGTATGTTGTTTATGTGCTCTGTACAGAAAGTCACCATATGAAACGAACTCGATGACTCTCATTCTAATTCATTCATCCATCGTTGGCAAGTAGAAGTGCTCCGTGTTAACATGTGCAAGTACAGAGATTGGAGGATTTAGGAGATTTTTCTCTGATGTATTTTTATATATCGACAGTTCCAATATGTGGTTTACATTTCTTACTTTGATTTGACCATTGAGGGCAACAACATATTAACCTAAATATTTAACACACCTTGGCACACCAGTGTCGTGGCAGCTAGAATCAGAATCGGGTCTCACTGTTTATGTATTAAGGCTGTATGGAAAGGTTATTTTAGGACATATTAGTCTGTGTGAGAGGCATATTGAAATTTGAGAGGACTTTTGTACACACACACACACACACACACACACACACACACACACACACACACACACACACACACACACACCAATATTGCAATAGACTCATCATGATTATGTAGTCCATGTGTAAATCCAGATTAGCAGATGATAATTCGCTGTAGGGGGAGATGGGCTGTATAAACCAGCAAGGCCTCATTAAGAGACAGACATGGACATCTGATGATGTGGCCCGCAGCCCAGGGTGTACACACACTTATGCTGTTCACACAAACATATATGTTAACACTCATCATACATGTATTCAAAACTTGAAGGAAAGCCATGAAAATAGTAAACTTTTCTAATCAGCTTTTTCTCTCTGTTTTTCTCCTATGTGCTGACATTGATGTGGTGATTTTCAGGTAAGTCGCATATTTTTCTTACTGACCCACATAACCTCTCTTTATGTCTCTACTAGATGATCCCAGATCAGACTTACTGTATACTGAAAACCCCTACAAAGCCTGCCACACATCACAGCTTGTATTTACGCATTAACTCATGTTTCCCACTTAATGTTTCTGACTCTCATCACCCACCTTTTCTGTATCATATGCATCCTATTATCTTTGTGTTATGGGATCTAATCCCTGAATGCCCTAATGATGAGTAGGAGAGTTAGAGGAAAAACAAGTGATTATGTTTGTGAACATGATGTCAGTTTGAAGGGGGATAGAGATTAGGGTTTATGTTGATAGGATGCACTGATGTTGTCCCAACCCAATCCTGAGGTAAGAGATTATATTCACATATATAGGATCTGTGGTGATGTCATGGGAAACGTTTTCGACCAATTTTATTACAACGCCAATCATGTTTTTTCTCTGAGTTTCCTTTAATCATTATTGATAAACCTGTTTTATCTGAGAGCCCTGTTTGCCTCATATTTCCAATTTGAAGTTCCTTCCTATCGCGTGACTAACTGTTCATGCTACCAAAGTGCCATGTTTGCTACAACTAGCTTAGTCCTTATCTGCGTGTGTTATTTTATTTTATCTTGCACTGACACAAAGCTCACAGCGGACGGTAACAACATGTCGTGTTTGTGCTGCTCAGATACGATAGAAGATGTGTAACACTCTGAGTTACTGACTGATATTTGGGATAAGATACTGTAATGAAACGGGGCCATTCACGCGATCCAGCCCTCATGACAGTGTTTTACTTGTAGCTAAAGACTGTATTTTGAAGAATGACAATAGTGGTCAGTGAGACTGCCATTTAACCAGAAGACCTGTTGCCACCTAGTCTAGTGCTGCAATGTCCTTGAAGGCCGTTTGTATCCTTGTAAGTGTCTTTATCCAAGTTTCTATCCAAATGTAACAACATTTAAAAGAAAAATGAGAGAGGGACTTAAAATATGACGTTTAACATTACATTACATTTCATTTAGCTGACGCTTTTATCCAAAGCGACTTACAATTACCAATTACAGGGACATTCTCCCTGGAGTAACTAAG